TAAAAGAATATTGTATAAAAAAGTTCTAAAAACAGGAATAGAAATGAATATAGAAAAAATAATTGAACAACTAGAAAAAGTTTATGGAGAAAATTCATTATTATTTTGGAAAAAAATCCCTAGAAAATTTAAATCTTATAGAGTTTAGCCAGCACAACGTAGTGATAAATGGGAAAAAAAACCAATCATATATAATGAAATAAAAAATAAAAGAATATTGTATAAAAAAGTTCTAAAAACAGGAATAGAAATGACTATAGAAAAAATAATTGAACAACTAGAAAAAGTTTATGGAGAAAATTCATTATTATTTTGAAAACCACATCACCCAAAAGCTAAAATAGAATTAACAGAAAATGTTATAATAAGAATCAGACCAATGATGTATACTATAGAAGATACACAAGAATTTAAAAATAAGATAAAAGAATTGTTAGAACAAAAACTTATTAGACCTAGTAATGGACCTCATAGTAGTCCAACCTTTATGGTTATGAAACATTCTGAACAAGTTAGAAGAAAAATTATGATGGTCATAAATTATAAAGAATTAAATAAATATACTAAATTTGATGGTTACTTTCTACCAAATAAAGAAGTGTTAATAAATCTTGCAAAAGGAAAATAATATTATTCTAAATTTGATTGTAAATCAAGATTTTGGCAAATAAAAATGAAAGAAAATAGCGTACAATATGCTACATTTAACACACTTCAAGGAAAATATGAATGGTTAGTTATGTCATTTGGTCTAAAAAATGCACCACAAATATATCAAAGAAAGATGAATAATATATTTAAAAAGTTTAATGAATTTCTAATTGTTTAGATAGATGATATATTAATATGTTTTAATAGTAAAGAAGAACATTGAAATCATTTAATCCAATTTATTAACGAATGTTAAAAAGAAGGAATTGTACTATCTAAAAAGAAATCTATAATAGAAAAATAAGAGATGGACTTTCTTGAATTATCAATAGATAAAAGAGGAATAAAATTACAGACTCATATATCCAAAAAGATAGAAAATTTTTCAGATAAAATTAAAATCTAAAGAACAAATACAAAAATTTTAGGATGTTTAAATTATACAAAAGGATTTATTGAAAATCTTTCTAAGAAAAAACATAAAATCCAAATATTACTTAGAAAAATAAATACTAAAGGATGGAATGAAGAACATACATAAATAGTTAAATCATTAAAAGAAGAATGTAAAAATTTACCAAAATTAAGATTATGAGATGAAAAAGATAATTTGATTATTAATATAGATGCCTCAGATAAATATTCGACAGCAATATTAAAAACAGATCTAAATGAAATTTGTAGATATTTAAGTGGAACCTTTAACCAAGTAGAAATAAATTATATTACTCATGAGAAATAATTACTAGCAATTATTAGAAGAATAAAGAAGTTCTCATTATTTTTATTATCCAAGAAATCTACTAGTTGCAGGATTAGTCAAGAATAAACTACCATCAGAATCTCAATCAGAAGGCTCCATAGATGGCAAGCTTATTTAGCATTTTATAACTTTGATATTGTCCATATTAAAGGAGTAAATAATTTTCTTGCAGATTTTCTCAGCAAAAACATAAAATTTGCTGATGGATAAAGCCAAGGTCACGGAATTATACCAATCTATCCTACAAATACAAAAAAGGACAGATTTTCTTAAGGAAGAATCCAAATATATAAACTCTGGGGCAACCCAAATCTCAGAGATGTTCAACTCAAATATGTTGAATATCACTACTGAGCATTATAAATATGCCATAGAACTCAAAAATCAAGTTGTTGTTATTGCAGCACAATTAAAAGATATACTGTCTGAGATAGATATACCAAAGAGATTAGAAATGAGTTTTTCAAACCAATATCAAACAGGGACAGCTGCAAGCAGCAGTGGGCCCAGATATGACAACATACCAACTGATAATAAAGGAGATTCCATTTCAGTATCATCAACCAAAAAAGTTATGATACATGGATATAAAAGAGATGCCAAAACAATTAGCATCATAGACCAAGAAGATAAAATCTCTTTAGATCCAAAAGAAGAAAAATATGTCGAAATAATCAAAATTGCTTATGAAATAAAAATGAGTTATTCATATTTCATCTCTCTGAGAAATAATGTTTATTCCAGAATAACAGTTATGGAAGGAGGAGACCCTTCATTTATAAAAATTATGGCAGACTATGAATTCATGAATTTGATATATCCAGAAAGAGATTTGATTGAAATTTCGAAGTTTGATGACATATTCATAAAAGAAGTATCCAGATTTGTCAAGGGACGAAAAATATATTTGAAATTCTATTCAATAAATCCAAAATATGATAGAGTTGTTTACTATCCAGTTAAACACATAATCTCAATTAAATATGTTGCAGCCAATTTTCAAATAGACGTTGCAGAAAATAATAGAAAAGTTCCGACAGTGATAAAATCATGGATCAGACATAGAAGAGCACTTGAAATTAGAGCCATCTACAACATTGCCAAAAATTTGTTTGATAAAAAATTCTCATATTTGTGCCAATATGAAAATTGGATGTTGGTATCCAATGGAGGATATGAAAAATTAGAAATTTTAAAGGACTATATTATAAGATTCGATATACATCAATTTCCAGGATGTGCTATTACTATAAAAGAATTCTGTCAGCTAAGGGAGTGCCCCAACTGCATGTGAAGAAATAAAGAAAGATGACAATAATAGAGCACCTCTGACAAAGGTGTATGGAGAACAATAATACAACAACATGTGAAGACATTGAAGAAAAAGAGCAATAATAGAAAAAGATGCTCTTTGGATAAAAAGTTAAAGCAGCATGTGAAGATGTAAGCCCAAGGAGAAAAATAATAGAGAGGTAAGTGTGCATTTGCTGATGTACTCAATGATGTAATAGAGTCTCATAAACTTGTATAAATAGAGACATTGTCATAGATAGATGACATCTCATCTTATCTTGAAATCTCGAATTGTAAGCAATAGTTACTCTTAAAACCATTCACAGTTTGAAAAATCAGTTTTTTCTAGAAATCTCTTTGTACTAAATAGAAGTCTTGTATAAATAGAAATAAAACTCTAATATTTTGATATCAATATGAGTTTCTAAATCTTTATTCCCATAGATTCTTGAAGGATCTAATAAAAAGTTTCCTTCTAATTTTAGCAAAAAGAAAGTTTTTTTTTTTAACAGAAGTTTAGAATTTTATTCTTTGGAAGTTGATACAGTGAGAGCAAGTAGCTGAAATAGTAACAATTCCTTGAAGACGGGAGGCCATTGAAGGAAGCAGTTTACAAATTCAGAGCTCGAAGGTCACTCGGTTCTAAAAATAAAAGTCCAGATCAAACCTAAGGTAAAACTATTAAACTTTTGTTAAAATTAGAATGAATCTTTTTAAAATATTAAAGAATCGTAGGGATTAATCAATGATTATTTGTATGAATAAATGTCATGATATACAATTAAATGATTAAATAATCCATTAGAAAGAATGTTAGAAAAAATAAAGAATATTATTTCTCAATTAGAAAATATAAATTTACCATTTGAAAAATATAGTATTTTAATTAGAAAATATGAAATATATGTTGCAGATTATTCTTATTTATTAGATCATATAATGGATTTATATTCAAATATTCAAAATAGAAGATAAAATGTTTAAAAGATTAGGATATATGTTGCAATATAGAAAGAATCATTTCATTAAGGGTAATATAAACCTTTCAATAAAAAAGAATAGTGATAGGCCAAATAGAAAAATCTCCCAGTAGAATGTCAATTTTTAAATGTTTCTCCTACTGTTGTATAATTAGAAATTTCATTAAAATGTGAATTTAACGAGATCCAAATGAGGGCTTAAATCTATCTATCATTTAATGTCACATTAATATAATTTAGATTGGAATTGTAATCCCAGTGGAACTACATAACATTATTCATAAGGGTTAAATTCACTAATGGTCACCCAACTTTGTAGACTTATTTAATTTCACCTTTCATTCAATGCCACATTAACATTATTTAGATTAGGATTGTAATCTCGATGAGACTAAACAACATTATTCATAAGGGTTAAATCCATTAATGACTACCGAACTTTATACTTGGCGTCACCATCACCATGACCACGACATTAAATTTAAACATGCCATAAGAATGTGATTTAAACATTGTCAATAGCAAATGAAAACAAGCATATTGTAATAGTATATATTTCCTCCACATAAAAGCCAAGCCATTGGATTTTGTTTCCTTGGTTACCTAAGATACTTGACTTCCATATTCCCACACTTAACTCTTCCTAGCATTATTCATCAGGGTTAAATTTACTAAAGACCACCCAACTTTTTATTCAGTGTTATCATAATCATCCAATTTGATTTTATTTCATCATGGTCATCTAACTTTATATTTAATGTCACCAAGACCGTCGAATTTCATTTTATTTCATCATGGCAATCCAATTTTATAAAACGTTTTATTATGGTCACTCAACTTCTTTTTACCCTTTTCATTAATTCTGGAAGATTAAAATAGTAACTATAAATTATATATAAAATAAAAAAGGTTATTTTATAAAAATGTTGCTCTTATTTTGTTTTTTAAAAATTTATTTTATATGTAATGCAAAATTATCATTTTACGCCTTTAAAAATGAGTGAAAAGGGTGGAAAAAATGTCGAGTGGCCATCGTTAAACATTATATGAAATTGGTAGCCATGGTAAAATAAAATCAAATTGAGTGATCATAGTGATACTAAATATAAAGTTGGGTGGCCATGATGATATTAAGCCCTTGTTTGATCCCCATTCTTTGGGAAAAAATGCATTTTGCTACCGTGCTTTGACATCATTTCAACTACGCATTCTTCAATAAAATAATATTACACATAAATTTAAAACTTTTCTTTATTTTTTAACCACACATTTCCCATCAATACACTATTCAAAAATTCATTTTTTCTCCAAAAATGGGGCTCAAACAAGGGCTAAATACAAAGTACTTGTCTGGGGGAGCATCTCCCCTGATATCTATCAAAATTGTGATCATTGGCTACCGTAATTCTTGACCCATACTCTCACGGGTGGGTCCCAATGGAGAAAAAAAGGGTAAGATTTCCAATTACAATCAAGATAAAAAGCTATACTAGACGTGGCTAAAGTTACGTAGCTATTGATGGATTTAATCCTTATGGGTAATTGGCACAAAACGTCCCTACCTTTCAAGTTTATTGTGGAAAACGTCCCTACCTTTCATTTTTTGGCATTTTTGCCCTCATTTCAACCTTTCTTTGCGCTGGACGTCCTTCCGTCCATATTCCGTCAGTTTTTCCGTTAAACATTCGGGTAATTGGCACAAAACGTCCCTACCTTTCAAGTCTATTGTGGAAAACGTCCCTACTTTTTATTTTTTGGCATTTTTGCCCTCATTTCAACCTTTCTTTGCGCTGGACGTCCTTCCGTCCATATTCCGTCAGTTTTCCGTTAATTAAATACAAAAATACCTTTTTCGTTCCATAAACAAGGGTAAAATTGTCCTCACCCATTTCACCCCTTTTTCCCGCCATCAACTTAGTCCATAAGTAACAGTAGCAGCGACATGAATCTGAAAATACTTTAAATGATTAAGTTAAAAAAAAAGAAGAGGCCATTAAAATGAGAAAAATGCTTCCCAATTTTCTCAAACCCGAAGCACTACAACGATACATCAGTATAATGGATCATATTGCTCAAAGACACTTTGCTGATGACTGGGAAAACAAGAATGAAATTGTCGTTTTCCCTCTAGCAAAGAAATTCACATTCTGGCTGGCCTGCCGTTTGTTTGTAAGCGTAGAAGATCCCAACCATGTTGCTAAATTTGCTGATCCTTTTGATCTTTTAGCCTCTGGGCTTATTTCTCTTCCCATAGACTTGCCCGGTACACCATTTAATCGTGCCATCAAGGCCTCAAACTTTATCAGAAAAGAGCTTGTTGCCATAATCAAACAGCGAAAACTCGATTTGGCTGAAGGAAAGGCATCACCAACACAAGATATATTATCACACATGCTTTTGACTAGTGATGAAAATGGAAAATTCATGCATGAATTGGATATTGCTGATAAGATTTTAGGCCTGCTTATTGGAGGCCATGATACCGCTAGTTCTGCATGCACTTTCATCATCAAGTTTCTTGCAGAGTTGCCTGAGGTATATGAGGGAGTCTACAAGGGTAAGTCTCAAGTCATAACCCCACTCACTCACCATCATTTTAATCCTTATAATTATTCATTTTTTAACATAATTTAAAATGTTTTATTTTAAATCAACAGAACAAATAGAGATTGCCAAATCGAAAGCTCCAGGTGAGTTGCTGAACTGGGAAGACATAAAGAAGATGAAATATTCATGGAATGTAGCATGTGAAGTGATGAGACTTGCACCACCCCTTCAAGGAGCTTTCAGAGAAGCCATTACAGATTTCATGTACAATGGTTTCAAAATTCCGAAGGGATGGAAGGTAAATAATGCACACGAATATTTCTAATCCTACGTATCAATTATAATTACACTCATTTCATGAGTGCCAGTATGTACTTACTAATCCCCTATCATTTCCTTAAGCAGTTATACTGGAGTGCAAATTCTACACACAGGAATCCTGAATTCTTCCCCGAGCCCCTGAAATTTGATCCTTCAAGATTTGATGGATCTGGACCAGCTCCTTACACGTTTGTTCCATTTGGTGGAGGACCTAGAATGTGCCCCGGAAAAGAGTACGCTCGCCTGGAAATTCTTGTTTTCATGCACCATCTAGTGAAAAGGTTCAAGTGGGAGAAAATCATTCCAGACGAGAAAATTGTTGTGAATCCAATGCCAATTCCTGCTAAAGGTCTTCCTGTTCGCCTCTATCCTCACACAAGTTAAATAAATTCCGAGTCTTGCCTAAAAGAACTTAGAATTGCTAAACAAAACACCTTTTTAGGTGCTTTTGTTATATGTATCCTTACAAGAATGATTTTATAAATTCCTTACAAATTTCAAGGCCGCTTCCGATATTCTTAACTATGCATATTCATAATCTTGCATTGACACGAGAAAGTTGTTACTAACAAATAACGAGATATTAATTAATAATTATTTCTTTCATTTCAGTCTATATTGTATGAATAGTGATGATACATGAGAAACAAGGCAAGACAATTTCTTCCTTTTATACTCTGTTTGTCTTCATGGTATCATAGCAATATTAATTGCTACTGCCTTTATCCGCTAGCCAACACCACCATGACTACAGCCCACAAATGAACCACACGTGTCTCTATTGCTATCAATGTTTAGACCCATCTACATATTTAAAACACTCATTGCACTTTCCAGCAGAGAATTGTCCTCAAAAGTTAAAACAACGGTAAAGTTCTGGCAGCAATCCTGGGAATTTACTGAAACCGAATAAAGCTACTCTTACAAAGTTGCTTTACAAAAGTGAAGATATCAAGTGTGTTGGCAAAATATAAGTTACTGATTTAAAAATTTATTTTTGGAATGATTAGTGTGGATATTATTTTATAACTCAACTTTGTAACCTATATCTTTGTAAGTGTAGCATGACTCACTGAAATCACCATACTGACATGAAGATAAAAAAAATGAATTTTTCTAAAAGAACAGGGGCCTGGCCTCCTGACCGAACCCCACCCATGGGGGTGGGTCCCACGCAAAAAAAAGGGACCCCCTCTATTGGTGGGGTTCGGTAAGGGGGCAGGCCCCCTCTTTTTGTAGCAAAGCTCAAAAAAAATTAGTTCAGAGGTAGTTTACAGAAAAAAGGAGCTACTACGTTCTATTCGAAGTTCAAGCAATGTCTGGAATTACATTTGGATACAACTCCTAGGAAAAAATTGGTTGTACAGAATTTTTTTTCACAGAATTCCACCGGAATAGAGACAAGTGTGTGGGCCCCATGCTGTATAAAAAAATGTCAAAAATGTGTGTGGGCCTCAGAATTGTGAGTTGTCGGTATATATTCTGTCAAAATACTTTCTGTACGTATAGAAGCATTCCTCCTTCTGAAGTGTGGAATCTTCAGGTCAGGTTGATGTGCCAAGAGATGTACGACAGTAACACCTTTTATAATGAATCAGTGTTCTAAACATCTTTCATTGAGACGATTGGCATAGGAATGACAGCTATGTCTGATTTTAGGAAAGATATGCTACAGTACAGTGAGCAAATTGGGCACCAACTGGGGGTTTTGAGATACTGTTATGGGATTTGACGGATTTGGGAGTAAGACCCGGAAATTATTTGTATTGATTTAAGGAGTGAAGTGAATTTTTTGAAATTCAGTTATACTTTTATATTGCAGTAGATATAGAAATAAAAATGGTACGCAGTAAAAGTTGAATATTTTATTTAAATTGTGTACATGGCGTAAATTCTCTCCATTCGAGGAGCATTGATTTCCATTTCAATGCATAAAATTAAACAATAAATTCTTGATCTCCTTACAAGCAAATAATTTAGTTAACCTTATCGAAACACTTCCCCGCTTATCAACAAGTGATGGAGCTTAAATACACATTCTCCTCTAGTGATGGATACCGTAACATCAATATTCTTGAGGGTTTCGAACTTTTGAATTATACCATCTGCTATAAACTATTTATATACATAATTCACAATCTTATAAGAGGTAACTTGAATTTTAATTATGTGGAGTAAACAAATGAAACATGTTTATTTATTTTATTAATCAGAATAAAAATTGTACATTAATTACCTGAAATAAATTTGGTGTTAACTAACATCAATAGAGTAATGCTATTTATCTCTAATGGAAATGATCTCCATGAGGTTTAATCTTAGATAATAAGATCAATAAAGTGAGTTTCATATTAATACATGTTAGAATTAGATTGTGACTCGAATTCTAATTAATATTTTGATTGGAAATATTATTAGAGTAGTATTGGGAGTTGGTAGTAGATTTGAATAAGTTTTCAAGGAGTTTAAGAAGGATAAGAAGAATGATTCTCCTTTTTGATAGGTTTTTTTACTCATATTTCATCATAAATGCTCTATTATTGGTTTTATTCATTGTATTGGAACTTTACCTTATATTATACTCTTCATGTATTAATTCTCTTAGTATGTTAGGGATTCTGTAGTTATAAATATATGGTGTATAACATATAATGGAATCGGTCAATTTTCCAATTAATTATTGGTCTAAGAGATCATTTGTATTTCCTTACTATTGATTACAGTGAATCTCAATTCCTACCCATGGTTTTCCTAGATTTGGGTGGGTTTCCACTTAAATGTTGTTTTCCTGTGATCCATTATTTTTATATTCCCCATATTTTCTCATTCTTTAATTATTTGATCGAATTCTCAACAAAGTGGTATTAGAGTTGTTTTGATTTCAATAATGTAGTTTTAGATCTGGTCTGAATTATAACAAGTGGTATCAGAGTTGAAGATTTTATTTTAGCGGGTTCTTGGGAAATTGGATATTAAAGCGAGATTGAAATAAGGTCAATTGTTTCAGGGATGGAAACTATGAAATTTGAGATTAGAAGGGATAACCAGGAAATTCCGGTGATGCCATTTTTCCAAGAGAAGATTGTAATGATAAATATCTTTTGGCAATTGCTTATGGCGATCCAAACCTAACAAGGATTGGTTTCTTGATTTGGCTTGCACTTTTCATATGTATCCAAATCAAGATTGGTTTTCTTCATATGAAACCGTTACAGGGGGTTTCATGATGATAGGAAATAAGAAGCCTTGTAAAGTACTTGGGATTGATAATGACAAAATCAAGATGTTTAATGGATGGTTAGGATATTTGGCCAGGTTCGACATGTTCTAGATATGAACAGGAATGTAATCTCTTTGAGTACTCTTGATTCAAACGGGTACAAGTAGACCGGTGGTGGTAGAGTTTTGAAAGTTACCAAGGGTGCACGGATTATGTTAAGGGGGCAGAGAAAGTCCTGGTTGTATGTGTTAGAAGATTGGACGGTCAATGTAGATGCAGCTGCAACTTATGGTTTGATAAGTGGTGACTCGGGTGGAGTTGATTGTGATCGTGTTGTTTGTGGTGATTTGAAAAATAATATTGGTGAGTCTTATAGTAGCTCAAGTGGAGCTAGTTGTGATCTCTTTGATCATGTCACTCATGGCGATTTGAGCAGGTTTGACAACTCAAGTGAAGTTGGAAGTGCTCGTGGTGATTCGAGCAGTTTTGATGACTTAGATGGATTTGGAAATGAATGGGATGATTTAAGCAAGGTTCGCGCGCAAGATAATTCTGCTGGTAAACAAGGCTAGGATTTAGTTTCATAATTGTTGAGTATGTCCGATAGGGGCATGATGTGCCCGAAAGGGGCATGGTGGAAGAAGCAGAGTAATTTGTTTGGAGTGTTCTACTTGAAGAATTTTTGGAGTTAATTGAAAAGTTAAGCTTTATTTCTTGTAATGGAATTTGCGTCAAGATGGAGTTTATTAGAATTAGATTATGACTTAAATTCTAATGAGTATTTTGATTGAAAACACTGTTGGAGTAGTATTGGAAGTTAGTAATAGACTTGAAAAAATCTTAAAGGAGTTCAAGAAGGATAAGGAGAAATATTCCTTTTTTTGATAGTTTTTTGAGCCTATTTCACCTCAAATATTTCATTATTGGATTTATCCATTGTATTGCGATTTCAACTTATATTAAACTCTTCATGTATTAATTCTCATAATATTTTAGGGATTCTTTGATTATAAATAAGTTGTGTACAACACATATTAGAATTGACAAATTATTCAATTAGTTATTGGTCCAGGAGATCCTTTGTAACTCCTTACTATTGAGTATAGTGAATTCTCACCCTCTGCCCATGATTTTCTCGGATTTGAATTTCCACGTAAATCTTGGTTTCTTTGAGTCCATTATTTTTATATTGTCCATATTTTCTCGTTCTTAAATCATTTGATTGAATTCTAAACAAAGTGGTATCAAAGTTCATTACACCAAAAAAGATCTTTTGCAGTGTTTTAGCGTATGTTGCGGAAATATTGAGGGACGAGTTTTTGTAGCGTTTTTTCGACGTTGCAAAAGACAGTCTTTTGCAGCGTTTAAACAACGTTGCAAAAGACCACCTTTTGCAACATTGTCTTTTGCAGCGTTTGTTCAACGTTGCTGCAAAAGACTGCCTTTTGCAACGTTTATCCAATGTTGCAAAAAACGTTGCAAAAGACTAGCTTTTACAACGTTTTTTGACCTTTGCCGCAGAATTTTTTTTATTTTATATAGAGTAAATTGACTTGCAAAATTGAAAATAACACTTTGTGAACAAATTTTGGAATTGCATAAAAACTAATAATTTCATTACAAATTTTTGTTGCATCCTCTATACAGCTGGAAACTACAATAAACTATCCAAACTACAAATTTCACATAAACAATGGCATTGGAGACGAAGGGACAAATCAAGTAACCATGATATAACATAAAGATCACCGGTTAATCGAAGCAATCTCTAATTTCAACTATTTCACAACCCCAGGGCGATAAATTAACCTTGCCTACAGTGACTTTCACCAGTTCTACAAACATAACTCAAAAGGGATAACAAATAGTGGAGCACCAAGAAAAACAGCTTCTTCCCTGTCAACTCACCTATGATATTTCTCAAAACCGGGCAATGGCCTTCTTTTGAATAACAGCTTTATAACTATCTCCAGCCTGCACTTCGAGTTTTGGATCCAACTTCTTAGGCTGATTCCCTAGTACCGCTCTAGTATCCGTGACCTGAACTTGGACAGGCTCTACCATGCCACTTCCATCTTTCCCCAAGCCCTAGTTATGTGATCAATAGAGAGAAACCAAACAAAAATTCCAGAAAGCAAAGTCAGATACTGAAATGAACAAAACGTACTGCCACTGTCGCTTTAGAGCTGATGGATGCCAACAAGTTATGGTACAAATGAGTATCCAAAAGACCAGAGAGGAATATATAGGACAACTTTGGAGAAAACGGCCCTTAAGATTCTTGCCTCTCAAGAACAAGGAAAATATTCGACATATTACTTACACAAAAGCAATTCAAATTGCTTACGAACAAACTTTACATAAGCGTGCACATAGATTTTGACAAGGGAACTTACCCATATTCACTGACGGACATTTTTCTCTGGCCAAACATCGAATTCCTCTGTAACGAGCATAGGAAACATGTAGCCCTCATGAAATGTGTCTCTGCTTCTACTCTTGAAAATCCATTCACCTAATTTATCCTGTAAGAAAATGCAATGGAGAAAAATAAGAGGACATAAAGTTTTCGGGCATGTTTTGTATGTTGGATTGGACAACACTGAATATAATTAACAAAGAAGATAATTTTACAATGTTATTTAGCACTACATACACAATAAAATTCAATAAGAATAATGCTTACTAACCCTTAATTCGATAAGAATAATGCGTACAAAGAAGATGCTTTTACCCCCAAATAATTGGCACCATTCAGATTTTGTTGGAATGAGTATATGTCCAAGCTGATCTGAATAATGAACAAAGTATGGCTTCAATGAATCTCTTCTCGGATTGACATTACTGTTATTTGAATATTTGGAATGGGACTTTTCTGGTGGCGTTTGATCTTCACTTGCCATGGTGTTTACAGGTTTAATAAATAATCAGGCACAAGAAAGTGCTGTAAAGTGTCTAAGAGTGATGAAGAACAATGCCATCAAAAGATTTGTTTAAATATAATATCAACAGTCAAATGCAAATTATAGAATCTTAACTCGTAGGACAAGCACTCATCCCAAAAAGTCCCTCATTATTTATCACTGAACTTTGTAAGCCAACATTATCACAGATGACATGAATTTTCAAAGTTAAATGTAATGTTTCTATTCTTACAATAGCACATAAAAGACTTCAATGACAGACGATTCCTATAATCATCCTATGCTCTCTGCTCTGCTGTTGCAAATGGTTTCTTCGGCATGGTTCAAAATGAAGCAAAATATCGATTCTGCACTCGAAAGCAACGTATTTAATTTAGATGCATTGTGGCAACACATAAGTAATGATCAATGATCAAATAACATGACAATAATACTTAAGTCGAACAAGTTACAACTTAATTACATTGTGAATTGGCTGATGGAGTTTATCTCAATATCCCTTTGTATCTCACACACGTTGTAGAACTTCTTTTGAACCATAAATCATATAAGCAGAATAAAAAATGTGAATAAAACATTTAAATAAACATCCAATAATTCTTATAATATGCATATGATACTGTACCTTTGGGAACATCATTCATGGACTCTTTTGAGAGGTAATCAATAAAACTTCCAATTCTTCAATTACGGTCCCATGAATTGGAGGTGATGTTTTGGTTTCTCTGAATCTATATGGAATACATCTGACAAAATTTGGAAATAAAGAGTAAAAATTTATAAGCCAATAATTAAAATTCATTTTTTTCAAACGCCAAAATCCCATAAGACTGTAACCCTTATTTCAATTTCCCTCAAAATCCTAAAAATTACCCCAAACAAAGAAAAAAAGATAATCAAACAAACATATACCGGTAGAAAATTATTCACATTAAAATTCAGGAAAAAATGAAAACAAAGAAAAAGTGATGTTTCTAGAATACATACCCAACAACTAGACAATAGCCATCATTGTAACGTTGCAAATGTCATCCTGAATGAGAAGGAAGACACCAATTTCTTGATTAACATTGTAATAATAGAATAAAAGTACAAAACTTTTCAAACAAAGCAAAGCCCCAAAAATGAAAATCAGCCTCCCAATTTAAAGAAACCAATCGAGACAGAAAATCTCCTACTTCTTAATTTCCCGTCAAAAATTAAAAATTAAATTTTCACGTGTGAATCCCTACTCTGTACAATAAAGGGAATAAGAATTGTATAAATAGTAAGTGGGCATACCTTGAAGACGACAAGACCCAAAATCTGCTAAATTAGCATTACAAAAGGCTCAAAATCAAAGGAAGATGAAGAATTTTAGTGGAGAGAGGCAACTATGAAAAGAGGCGTGAGGATGGAGACCCAACCATGGCAATAACTTCATCTTCTCTGAATTGCGTGAAGATGAGAAGAGGGATTGGAGAGAGAAGATTTATGATATTATAATGGGAGAGGAAGAATTGCCCGTGAGAGAGGAATTGTTAGGGTTGCATAATTGTAATTGTTTGAATTTTTATTTTTTGCTTAGCGGGTCAGATTGAGTCAGTTTAACTCGGTTTCCTTTTCGCAACGTTTTTTAAATGTTGCGAAAGATTAACTTTTCGCAACGTTTAAAAAACGTTGCAAAAGATTAACTTTTCGCAACGTTTATCAAACGTTGGGAAAGACCCTTTTCGCAACATTTAATAAACGTTGCGGAAAGGGTCTTTCGCAACGTTTGATAAACGTTGCGAAAAGTTAATCTTTTGCAACGTTGCAACGTTTATCAAACGTTGCGAAAAAAAAAAATTTCGCAACATTTAATAAACGTCGCAAAAGAGTATATTTGCAACATTCACTTAAAAGATATTGCCAAATCTCATTTTTTAACACCAATGACAACATTCACTTATTAAAATATTGCAATAGACACTTTTAGCAACATTTAATTAATGAATGTTGCCTTATATCCATTACAAAAGGTCTTTTTTGGTGTAGTGGTTGTTCCGTTTTCAATAAAATGGTTTTAGATCTAATCTGAAGTATAACAATACAGTTAGACTAATTATTAAAGTGTTCATCACCATCATGCCATATGAAGATCATCTTTATTTATTATGTAATCATTGGTTAAAATTCCAATTTTACACTTTTAAGTTTTAAGCATAATTAATGATTGGATTAGAAGTCCAATATTGCACTCTTTTAAGTTTTAAGCATAATTAATGAAGCTTGCTTGTCCTGATTATATGCCAATAGAATTATGAATAAAGATGAATAAGTATTAACATTGAATACCCAACGTATGTACACTCTCGAAGTCGGTATGAAATGTCTGTTTTTCTCCTCTAATTGTAGTCC